GGGAAGGGAATTGGGGAATTTGAGAGGGAATTTGGGGATTTTGGGAATTCGGGAGGGGAATTGGGGAATTTGGGAATTCGGGAGGGGAATTGGGGAATTTGGGAGGGAATTTTGGGGATTTGGGGAATTCGGGAGGGAATTTTGGGAATTTGAGTGGGAATTTGGGGATTTTGGGGAATTCGGGAGGGGAATTGGGGAATTTGAGAGGGAATTTTGGGGATTTTGGGAATTTGGGAAGGGAATTGGGGAATTTGAGAGGGAATTTGGGGATTTTGGGAATTCGGGAGGGGAATTGGGGAATTCCGGGCGGGAATTTGGGGATTTGGGGAATTCAGGAGGGGATTTTGGGAATTTTCGGAATTCGGGAGGGGAATTGGGGAATTTGAGTGGGAATTTGGGAGGGGATTTTGGGAATTCAGGAGGGGATTTGGGGATTTGGGGGATTCAGGAGGGAATTCTGGGAATTTGAGGGGGAATTTTGGGAATTATGGGTGGGAAATTTGGGGAATTTTGGGAATTCGGGAGGGGATTTTAGGAATTCTGGGTGGGAATTTTGGGGAATTTTGGGGAATTTTGGGAATTCCGGGCAGGAATTTTGGGGATTTTGGGATTTGTGAGGGGATTTGGGGAATTCTGGGCAGGAATTTTGGGGATTTTGGGAATTTGAGGGGGAATTTTGGGAATTCCGGGTGGGAATTTTGGGAATTTTGGGAATTCGGGAGGGGATTTGGGGAATTCCGGGCGGGAATTTGGGGAATTGGGGAATTTGGAAGGGAATTTTGGGAATTTGAGTGGGAATTTTGGGGATTTTGGGAATTTGGGAGGGAATTTTGGGAATTCCAGGTGGGAATTTTGGGGATTTGGGGAATTCAGGAGGGGATTTGGGGAATTTGAGTGGGAATTTTGGGCATTTTGGGAATTTGGGAGGGAATTTTTGGAATTATGGGTGGGAATTTTGGGGATTTTGGGAATTCAGGAGGGGATTTGGGGAATTTTGGGATTTTTTTCTGGGAATTTTGAGAATTCAGGAGAGAATTTGGAGAATTTGGAAATTCAGGAGGGAATTTTGGGAATTCTGGGTGGGAATTCTGGGGATTTTGGGAATTTGGGAGGGAATTTTGGGAATTTGAGTGGAAATTTTGGGGATTTGGGGAATTTGGGAGGGCATTTTGGGAATTTGCGGAATTCAGGAGGGAATTTGGGGAATTTGGGTGGAAATTTTGGAAATTCTAGTGGGAATTTTGGGAATTTGGGTGGGAATTTGGGGGATTTGGGGAATTCAGGAGGGAATTTTGGGAATGCTGAGTGGGAATTTTGGGAGTTTTGGTGGGAATTTTGGGAATTCAAGAGGGAATTCTGGGAATTTTGGTGGGAATTTGGGGGATTTTGGGAATTCAGGAGGGAATTTTGAGGATGCTGAGTGGGAATTTTGGGAATTCTGGCTGGGAATTTTTGGGATTTTGGGAATTCAGGAGGGAATTCTGGGTAGGAATTTTGGGTGGGAATTTTGGGTGGGAATTTTGGGAATTCTGAGCAGGAATTTTGGGAATTTGGGTGGGAATTCAGGAGGGAATTTTGGGAATTTGAGTGGGAAGTTTGGGAATTTGAGTGGGAATTTTGGGAATTCAGGAGGGAATTTTTGGAACTTCGAATTCCAGGGAATTCCAACCTTTTCCTATGGAAACACGAATCCAATCCCAGGAATTTTCCAAGGGAAAAAACAACCGGAACATCAAAATTCCAATTAAAAACCCCGGGAATGGCACAAACGAATTTCCCGGAATTAATTAAGGATTCATTAAGGGAAACTTGGGAATCTGAGAAATTCCCAAGGGGAATTCCCACGCCGGGAATTTCGGGAACGATCCCATTCCCAAACCCGGGAAGAACATCCCGGAAAAAAACCGGAAATCCCGGGATTTTTCCCGGATTTTTTTTTTATCCCTTCCCACCTTTTCCGGCGATCCCGAGGCCGCGTTCCCGAGGCCCCGGAGCGCCAGGATCCGCACGAGGACCGAGGGATCCTTTTCCAGAGGCCTCAGAGATTCCAGGATGGGCTCCAGAAGGATCAGGTCGGTCACCACCCTGTGGGACAGCAGCTGGAAAAAACGGGAAAAAAAAAATCGGGATACGGCCGGGAAAAAAATTCCCTCGGGATGGAAGAATTCCGAGGGAATTATTCCCGGGAAAAATCGGGATTGGGAGAATTTGGGGGTTTTGGGGAATTTTTCCTCATCCCGAGGAGCTGGTGGGAATTTTTTGGTCTCCTGGGAAGGGTTGGAGGGTCGGGAATTGAGGGATCCGGGAAAAAGCGGGAATTTGGGATGGGGTTGGGATGGAGGGAGGGATCCGTGGAGGGATCCATGGATGGATCCATGGATGGAGGGATGGGATGGATCCATGGATGGATCCATGGGATGGAGGGATGGATTCATGGAGATGGATGGATGATGGATCCATGGATGGATCCATGGGAGGGATCCATGGGATGGATTCACAGAGATGGATGGATGGATGGATGGATGGATGATGGATCCATGGATGGATGGATCCATGGGAATTTTTTTGTCTCCTGGGAAGGGTTGGAGGGTCAGGAATTGAGGGATCCGGGAAAAAGCGGGAATTTGGGATGGGGTTGGGATGGAGGGAGGGATCCGTGGAGGGATCCATGGGATGGATCCATGGATGGATGGATGGATCCATGGATGGATCCATGGATGGAGGGATGGATTCATGGAGATGGATGGATGATGGATCCATGGGATGGATGGATGATGGATCCATGGGATGGATGGATGATGGATCCATGGGATGGAGGATGGGATGGATCCATGGATGGTTCCATGGATGGAGGGAGGAATCCATGGATGAAGGGATGGATTCATGGAGATGGATGGATGATGGATCCATGGGATGGATCCATGGGATGGAGGGAGGGATCTATGGATGAAGGGATGGATTCATGGAGATGGATGGATGATGGATCCATGGATGGATCCATGGGATGGATTCACAGAGATGGATGGATGGATCCATGGATGGATGGATGGATGATGGATCCATGGATGGATGGATCCATGGGAATTTTTTTGTCTCCTGGGAAGGGTTGGAGGGTCGGGAATTGAGGGATCCGGGAAAAAGCGGGAATTTGGGATGGGGTTGGGATGGAGGGAGGGATCCGTGGAGGGATCCAGGGATGGATGATGAATCCATGGATTCATAGATGGAGAAATGGATGATGTATCCATGAATGAAGGACTGGGATAGATTCATGGATGGAGGGATGGATGGATCCATGGATGGAGAAATGGGATGTATCCATGGATGAATGGAGAGATCCATGGGATGGATCCATGGATGGATGGAAGGATCCATGGATGAAGGGATGGGATGGATCCATGGATGGATG